AAATAATAATTAACTTGGTTTTCTTTTAAGAACAATTTAACATATTAATTTCTTCATTTACTGTATTTTACAGCATACAAGACAACTTCAACCAAAAAAAGAAAAACAGTCCTGTGTCATACATGTGAAATTGTGATCTCCCATAGGCTAATGAATTCTCCAAATGGCCTTCAACAGGCTACAGATAACCTCTACAGACTCTTGAATAAAAATGTTATTGTTTAATCAAACACATTATTATTAAGATCATTATTTGCTATTGCTAAACAACCTTTTCATGTATTCAAGTTGAATATTTAATGGTAAATTTTAATTCTTAAGTTGTTGGTAAAGAATTATTTTAAACGTCTCTTTTTTCCTGATAAAAGTGTGCATTCTAATTTTACTTTTTTCAACCAGAGTACAGTAAAAAAATTTGGGACCAAATGCCAGGGTGTGGCATGGTTTTTAAATACACTGAATATTTTTTCTTAAATATTCTGTGTTCAAATGGAAATACATTTTATATGCTGTAAAATATTGTATATTTATCAATGTGAAATTTTATTTAACTACATTTAATTTCCTTTTACATTATGATACAATGAAATATTATGCTTTGCCCAATTTATATAAAAGTGCTTGATCAAGTTGGTTATTTTTTTAATTGCTTTTTATATCTTTAAATAGTTACATTCTGTTCCAAATTAGACGACCAAACAGTCTAAATGTGCAACTGCACAGCAATGAGAACAGATCAATTGCAATAAAAAAGGATTTGAAAATCAAATTACCTTTCAATATTCCATGAGACTAAAAAAGCCAATCTCTTGCATGATTTTTGAAATTATTATTTGAATTTTTTTTCTTTTGTCAGTCTATAAAATAAGAATAATCTCATATAAAAATCAATTAAGTTAACAATTTTGACATTTACAAGTCCCATTTGGATAATATATGTAACTCAGGCATCAGTTTTGGAATGGATTGGACATATAATCACAATATCAAAGATAACAAATCAAAACTACTTTCATCACTGATGTAAAATAAAATGAAAAATCTTGTTTAATCCTGATTGTTCATCACACATAATCATGCTTTGCTTTTTAAATTTTTTAAAAATTAGATTTCAAGACAACTCTTACGAAGAATATATCACATTGATGGAGATTTGAATAGACCATTGTTATATTGTTAGGAATATTAAGATGCCACATTTCATATAGGAATACAATTCCTACTTATTATATTATTATGGTTTGAATGCTTTGAATATACTTCAGCATATATTCAAAGTTCCATTTTGTACTTTTGTACATATTGCATTTTTTTTTTTTTTTTGCATAAATAACAAGTAATTGCGTTTTGGGAGATATTCCTATACAAAAATCTCAATGTCCTTCATTCTTAACATATATCTAAATAAAATCTGCTATTATCCAAGTGACATTTCTATCTTTGTTTCTAAAATAAATTTTAATTATCACATTCTTTCAAGCAGATTTAAATAAAAGCTCTTTTATGATATATGAAAAATTACATTATTTTCATATTGTGTAAGCTGACATGAAATATATTCTCAGCATACTCCATATACTGTATTTTGTATAGCATTTTCATAAAAGACAGACTACCAGCAAATACATACAATTTATTCTTTCATAATTAGTAAAAAAACTCTAATCAAGGTTTTAAGTATTGTATGAACTCAAGTCATAACTCTATACATGTAGCAATCTGTTTTACATTAACTAAAGAAAACCCTCATTTTTAATGGGTTTTTAAATTTAATCACTGTTATTTGCCAAGCTACATTTAACAGTGCACTTGCAGTGGTATAAATTGATCATTCTAAATGCAATCTTCCATAGTATGAATTATCTTTACAATGGAATAATTTCAATATATACAATGCTAATTTCTTTCTTGGTTAAAGTATTAATCTAATTGATAAATATATATTTATATTTATATATATATATATATTCCCCCCAAAAATCAAACAATGCTGCTTGTAATAGGAAGAACTGTACAAGAATCATATAATGGATTCTAAATAAATGAGACAGAATAATAGATATATGATCTTTTAAGATCTTAAAAAAAAATTCATAATGCTTAACCATGTTTGATTTTGTAAATTTGTAGATTTGTGAAAAGTAAACTGATATCATTAATGTATATGTTGCCAATGTACATATGCAATATAGAGCAGGTCGAATTATGTTTACGTAATGTATCTGTCCTTTATGCATAATGCCGTAATTTAATATCTGTATTTTTATCACGACAATACACAACTTGACTTTTCCTGAACGTCTCCATTGGCTTTTTCAATTTCCCATATTATAGTGGTAAATATCTCTGTGACACTCTGGAAAATTATATATTCATAATTAATAATTTTAAAAATTATCTTTAATAATTTATATTTTTTATTAATTAGTAAATAAATATTCTTCATGTTTACTTGATTTTGTTTGGCAGATGCTTCTATAAATTCTGCTTTCATTGTTGCTGCAGTTCTTTTACCTTCTTCGTAACTAACAACTCTNGCCGTAATTTAATATCTGTATTTTTATCACGACAATACACAACTTGACTTTTCCTGAACGTCTCCATTGGCTTTTTCAATTTCCCATATTATAGTGGTAAATATCTCTGTGACACTCTGGAAAATTATATATTCATAATTAATAATTTTAAAAATTATCTTTAATAATTTATATTTTTTATTAATTAGTAAATAAATATTCTTCATGTTTACTTGATTTTGTTTGGCAGATGCTTCTATAAATTCTGCTTTCATTGTTGCTGCAGTTCTTTTACCTTCTTCGTAACTAACAACTCTATATAAAAAATAAAATATCAAATTTTTTACTATCATTTTACATTGTACAATTTCTTTCTATTTAAACAAAAAATAATTAATAAAATACTTTGAAAAAGTTCTTTTTTTCCATAAAAATACTTTCATTCATGATTCTAATTTTTAGTTCACATTTTTTATATTTATATTTAAAATATTCTATTATAATAAAATTTGTTTATCTTATCATTGTCATGTTTGTTGAAACAAATTTGTTTGAATTATATCAATATATTTTTATTTTAAATCTTAAAAATTGGTATTATATTTTATTTGTAAGAGATTCAATCTGATAGGTCTTTTATGATATTTAAAGATCACTTCTAAAACTATAATTATAATATAATTAGAGCTGGTAACTATGCAGAAGTCTTCTTTTTTTTCCATCCATACCATATTGGGATTATGGTCAGTTGTCAAAAACTATTGTGAAAGTGAATAAATGTTGACTGCTCTTCAACAGACTTATTCTTTTAATTTTAGCTTTAATTTATATAGTTTTTTCCCAACTTTCAGAATTTTCATATTATTCAAAATATAACAGCAATATTTAAAATAATGGAAATGAGATTCAAAAATCATCAGTAGCCTCAGACAAGATATGAACTAGCAAACCATATTTTTCTAGATACTAAACTCTTATTGTCTTGCCCACATACTTAATATTTCTGTAGAAATCTGCAAGAATTATAGTGTGTAATTAAAACACAATAATTCTTATAGTCCATTTTTTAGTTCTATTAAGATTGGGAAATTTTTGCAAAATACAGTGCTCTCTCACTAATCTGAACTCTATTTAATCTACCAATTTTATTCATTTTAATGCTCAACGTTCCAACCAAATACAAACCATAGATTATGTTTTAAAAACATGATGATTTGTAAAATTAATATTTACTATACATTTTAATTTTAACATAAATATATGGCCTGGTGGACAGCCAAGGCAGTAAGATGTTAGCTTGCCACCAAGGAATCCAGAATCAAATTTAGTCTAGTAAGGTTATGTGTAAAGGAAAGGAAATTAAGGACAACTTTGTACAATAATTAGTTTGAATTATTGAGAGTAAAGTATATTTTAGAAATAACTTTTCAAATTTAGGTATGTTTTTACCTAAATTTGAAAAGTTATTTCTAAATTTTATTATAATAAAATTTCTAGGTTAGTAATTTATTATAATAAATTATTCTAGGTTTATTATAATAAAATTTATATATAAATTTTGTACTGTTAAATATATATTTCTTATTTAGATTTGTTCGATGTTGAAATTTTTATTTGTTGCCTGTGACGCCATGTTGAATTTTCGTCGATGTTAAGCCTAAATTTTTTTTTAAAATAATAATCATGTTTACCGTATTGTAAAAAATTATATTTTTATGTTTCACAAACAAAATAAATATATTGAATAATATGGAAACAAAAAAAAAATTATTTAAAAAATTCGTTTTAATATAAAAATTGTGATGCATAGCGACATCTAGTATCAAAAACATTCCGATGTAAACACGAAAATATTCGGGATCACCCACACAGGTCAATGAGGTCAACACGAATATTTTCGGGAACAACACAGGACAGGTTAAAGTAAAAGATATGAGACTTTCATATTATATAATATTGTGCACTGATGTAAATTTAAATGCAGGTTTTTTTACAATATAGTTGTGTATCCTAAAAATCTGCACAAATTTTAATTAGTGTTTTCTGGTAATTTGAAATAATTGCACATACATGATATAGCAAACATTTTTTCTAAAATGTTCTTGATTCCCATTTATTGAAAAAGTTTACACAAATAATGTTCCATTTTTAAAATGGAAACTGTCCAACTTCCATGTTCTAAAACATTTGATATTGTAAACTTCTATTTTTTGCATTGTTCCATTTTATTGTAACTTGCCTGAAGATGATCTTTAAAAAAAAGGCCAAAAATGTTACTAATTAAATTATTTTGCTGATTTTTAAGGTATGTTAAGCGTCTGGATTAAATGAATTTGATAGAAGAAATGTTATTGGCAGATTTTATACTGAAAACTGCAAAAGTAAGAATCTTATTCAGTTAAATATCTCTCTACAATGGGAATTCCATGGTGTATAGAGCATCATTTCAACGGTAAAGCAAGGAAAACCTGCAGAAAGAAAGGGAAGTGTTTGAAAGAAGAAAAATGGCTGAAAGGAAGAACAACTAATTGGAAGAAGAAGCCTTGGAAAAAACTAGACAAATGCTTAGAAAATTGGGAAGAAAGTTTGAAGTTTTACACAGACATGTTCACCAAAATCTGAAAGAACATTAAGTGACTCTCAAGAAATGAGTCTGCTACAAAATACATGACAAAGCAACTTGCTACTCTGGTTTGGCTGGCAATCAGTGCAAAGAGGCTTTCATTGCTCCATCTTGACTCTCCATCACCAAAAAAGCATATGGCAATGCATTCAGAAGGAGTTATTATGCTTCCTAAAGAAATACTATCCTAACCAAGAATATGTCCTCTGGCCAGATATGGCCACTACCCATTATGTTCATGACACAATTGCAAAATTGGTCCATTACAGAATTTGATACATCTCCTTGAAGTGAACATTCCAAATGTTCTACAACTGTGACTGATTGAGAGATTTTGGTACAAACTTAAGCAAAAAATTTATGAAAATGATTAGGAAGCTGGATCCACAAAGGAGTTGGGGACAAAATCAAGCTCAAATTTCACCATTTCAAAGCTGACCATTTTCAGAGGTTAATGAAATGGGTTAACATTAAAGTTGAATTGCAGTTCTGATCATATCATCTGAATATTAAACAACCTATCTGTATTCAACCTTATTTTGATAAATAATGACTTTAGGATACATGCTCCTTAGTTATATTAATAATATATTTTTCTTTGTATTTGAATATTTTTTCTGTCGATAGTAAAGTTCAATATCCTATATTTAAAAATTTTAAACTCACCTCTCCATGTGCAGATCTACTTTATTTCCTACAAGAATAATTGGAACACTGAAAACAAAAATAATTATTACTAATTACAAAATGATGATGATAAATTTTCATTATATTTCAGTTAAATTTTTAAATACTTTCAGATAAAATTACATACAGTCGACCCCTCTATGACACGGGTTCCTATAGTTCGGATTCATATATCACAGCGAAAAAATTACAACAGTATTCGTACAAACATGCTAAAAAAAACCCCTATAATTCAGTAAAATGTCATTGCTGACTTGTGTCGCAACAGAATTGGTCAAATCTAGACCAATAGCGGATATTGCACAAACCGTTGAGTTTAAACGAGCAGCGGACCTACTAAAAACCATTTATTATTTAACGTCCATAAAAATTATATTTATATTAATGATGTCTCCAAAGTTCAGCGAATTTTTCGCAAAAAAAATAATTTATCAGGAAGCACGCAAGTGCCATTCAATGACAAGCGCCACAACAAAAACAAGCTTAAGCAATGGTGTAGTCGAATGGTGCACACTCGGTAAGTAATCCTACAATTTTTGTTTATAGCATAGCTTATATGGATTATTCCCAAAAAATTATACATATTTTGGAAATGTTGAGTCGAATTAGTCTAGAATCAATTAATTTTATGGAAGAAACCTTTCAAACAGCCGTAGTCCATAAACTGCATATGTGCCAGGCTGTGATTGGCTGGACTCGTAGAAAATGGATTCATAAAAACCGGAACGTATCTACCATGTTATGGGGGGGTCGACTGTACTATGTTGTTAATAATTTAAATGATAATTTATTTCTTTCAACTGTACTAAAGTATTATAATACAGTACCAGACCAAATATCTGACAAGCTTGGGACCAGAAGAAATCCAGTTTTCTAGATTTCTGTTTTCTGAACACAGGCTAAATACATACTTAAAATAAAAAAGGCACAATGGAAAGTAAAGAACTAAACTGTTTTTAACACAATGAATGCTAACAGTCACACTAGAACTGACATCATGTGATGAATACACCATGGAAAACAAAACAAAATGGCCATGTGGCAAACTACAGCTGCACTATAACTCATCAAATTCAAAAATAGCTGGTTTTCTGGTAATTCTGAATTTCTGGAAGTTGGATATTTAAAATGGTCTGATACTGTGTAAGATTCATGAAATAAATTATTAATTTTATAGTAAATAATATTCAAAGTATCATAATTTCTTGTGAATTGCTACAGCAAGGTATACTCTGCAAAAAAAATTGCTAGAATTGAAATAAAACCTTTATGTAATTTACACCTATATACAGTAGACCCCCCTATAACGCTTAGATATGTTCCACGCTAATCAAATTTTACGTTGTAGGAACGATTAAATACATGAGCCAATCGCAGCCCGATAGGTGGGAACTTTACGGACTAAGGCTGTTCGAAAGGTTTTCTTCTATAAAATTAACCGATTCTAGACTAATTCGACTCAACATTTCCAAAACACGTATAATTTTTTGGGAATAATCTGTATAAACTATGCTATAAACAAAAAATTATAGGATTACTTACCGAGTGTGTACTGTTCGACTACGCCGTTGCTTAAAGCTGGTTTTCATC